GGTGGGAAGGAGGGAGGGAGGGAGGGGGGGGCACCAAGAGGGCACCCGGGAGCCTTCATCCGCCGGTCGGTGTGACCCTACTGGGTCTTCACCCCGAGAGTGACTGACAGGTGGGATTCACGGCTACAGGCATGGACGGCTTCAAGAGGGAACTAGGTAAGCATCTGGAGCAGAGGTCCGTCAGTGGCCCCTATTGGCCACATGGTATAGATAGGAACTCCCGGTCTGGGGCCAGGGATGCTCTGTCTTCTTGGTGCTTGGAGGGGGGCAACAGTGGGAGGGGCTTCTAGTGTCCTCCTGGCCCCACTGCTGGACCTCCTGAGGGCACTGGTATTTCTGGCCACTGTGTGACACAGAGAGGGTTGGACTGGATGGGCCACCGGCCTGGCCGAACATTTGGCTTCTCTTATGTTCTTCTGTCTGGGGCAGGTGATGCTCTGTGTTCTTGGTGATTTTGGGGGGGGGGCAACGGTGTGTGTGTGTGGGGCTTCCAGTGTCCTGGCCCCACTGGTGGACCTCCTGATGGCCCCTGGTATTTCTGGCCACTGTGTGACCCAGAGTGTCAGACTGGATGGGCCATTTTGCCTGATCCAGCATTGGCCTCTCTTCTGTTCTTATGCCTCAGAACCATGAGCAGCACCGATGGCCTTGATGCCTGGCCCCGGGGGTAAGTTGGGCGCTGTACTTTTTTACCGGCCACCCAGCACCCTGTCTGATCCAGCAGAAGTAATCTCCCCTAGGCATCTGGACCATCAGGGCTGGCAAGACTTGGCACCCGGCAAACAGGGGTAAAAACTCACAGAGGGTGGTTGCCACTCCCTCTCCCCATCCCCCTTCGCAGGGCTTAGGGTTATACAGCACAGTATCAAACCTAGACAGTGTAATAAAGAGTAGAGACATCACCCTGCCAACAAAGTCTGCATGGTCAAAGCAATGGTATTCCCAGTATTCATGTATGGCTGTGAGAGTTGGACTATAAGGAAGGCCGAGCGCCGAAGAATAGATTCTTTTGAACTGTGGTGCTGGAGAAGACTCTTGAGAGTCCCTTGGACTGCAAGAAGATCGAATCAGTCAATCCTAAAGGAAATCGACCCTGACTGTTCCCTGGAAGGCCAGATAATGAAACTGAAGCTCAGATACTTTGACCACCCAATGAGAAGGGAGCCCTCACTGGAGGAGAAGACCCTGATGCTGGGAAAGATTGAAGGTCAAAGAAGACAGGGACGGCAAAGGATGAGATGGTCAGACAGTGTCATCGATGCAACGAACATGAAATTGAGCAAACTCCGGAAGACAGGAGGGGCCTGGCGTGATCTGGTCCATGGGGTTGCGAAGAGTCGAACTCGACTGTGCGACTGAACAACCACAAAAATAAGACACAAGCCATTAAAAAAGACAAGCTGGTAGACGTACATGTCACAGAACTGTCCATGAAGCACAGCAGCGCTCCCCTGCCGTGCCTCGTCCCCCATCCCGGTTTATGGGGTCCCCATCCGGCGAGGAGCAGAATCCGCCCCTTCCGTCGGCCCATCAGCTGGCCATGATCTTCCCCAAGTATTATCAGCAGGGCCTCGGAATGAACTTGCTTGTAAAATTGGTAATGAGAAGTGTAACCGCCTGATACGATACCAAATAACGGGCGGGGGGGGGGGGTTAACTTCAGTATCAGGCATGTTTCCAAGCCTCCCCCCCCCCAACAATGTAGCACAGTGAGTGATGCAAAACTAAGCCTAGGAGAGGGAAATGGTGCTCTCGTGGGTGCAAATGCAGTCAGGGCCAGCTTTCGGGAGCAAGTGACCGTGATATTGTAGCAACTGCACTGCCTACTGATCTGCTCCCAAGTGCCATGGAAGGTGTTGGTTCTCTGTCCTCTAAAGCCCTACACAGCTTACGACTGGGGTAGCTGAAGGGCTATCCTCTCTCTCCCATACATTCCTGCCGGGGGAATGAAGATCGCAGGGAGAGAGAGGCCCTCCGGACCTCCCCATCAATCACAGAAGTTCCTCTGGCAGGTCCCAGGGAGAGGAGTTTATTTTATTTTTATTTATTTATTCAATTTATATCCCGCCCTCCTTGCATAGCAGGTTCAGGGTGGCTCACAGTAGGCTAAAATACGTTAAAACACAGATGCACTGAGACAATGCAGTAAGGTAGTATGCAACAGATGGCATAAATATATATAAATACATATGAAAAGATAAAAAGCTGATGGCCGTGAGCTACACTGGCTGTTGTTATTCAGATTAACAAAGAGGGCCTTAACCATTCAGATGTTAACTGTTCAGATGTTATCAGTGTGTAGTTAGTGGCAGCTCCTAATCCAAGGCCTGGTGGGAGAGCTCCGTTTTACAGGCCCTGCGGAACTGTAGGAGGTCCCGCAGGGTCCTGATGCCTTCCAGAAGCTCATTTCACCAGTTTGGAGCCGCCACTGAGAAGGCCCTGGTAGAGGCCAATCTGGCGTCTTTTGGACCAGGGAGAGTCAGACAGTTCTGAGACCGTGACCTCCGTGCTCTCTGGGGAACATGCGGGGAAAGGCGGTCCCTCATGTAGGCAGGCCCCTGAATAGGGCTTTAAAGGTCAGAACCAGCACCTTGAAGTGAATCCGGTATTTATTCAACTTAGATCCCACCATACCCCACAAGCGGGCTCAGGGTGGCTTACAACAGTGATAAAATGTTGGGTGTTACAAGTTAAAACACTTCTTCAGTATTTACTGGGTTAATGATGTTTGTTAAATCACATGTTTGTTTGTAACCAATAAGTTTAGAGAGTTAGAAAGCCCCAGATCTAGTTTGTTGTTCTGATTGGAGGCCAGAGTGCCAACTATTAGCATTTTATGGTCCTTTGTCCTGAGCTTGTCTTTGCTCTCTTCTGCCATGTTCTGTCTAGCTGTAAGGATGTAGGAATATTAGCTCTTTGTTATTTTGCATCCCGTGTACCTTTTCCCCATGCTAGGTTGTAGTAAACTTTTATATTTAAACACACCATTGACTCTGACTCTTTAATACTCTGCTGATTTACTCTGCTAATTTACTTTAAGATAAGAATACCTAACATAAAACAATAAGAATTCAACACTAAATAAAAATTCACCAAAGCCTCAAAGATTCCAGTTAAAAATTTTGAATGGCAGCATAACAATTACGAACTATTGTGTGTGCTGCAATAATGTCACGGTCGGAGGGCACATGCTCTTGAAAGACCACAGTCAGCTTACGCCGATGCCAAGTTGGTATATACCCATAGGGTACCTCCCTATGGGAGGTAAGGCAGATTGAGGAGCAGGGCCTTTTCAGTGGCACCCCAGGGGGGGGGCCTGGCTCACGTTCCACCTCCCTCACAGGGTGCCTGTTGTGGGGAGGGGAAGGGAAAGGAGATTGTAAGACACTCTGAGACTCCTTCGGGCAGTGAAGGGCCATGGGGTATAAATCCAATCTCCTCTTCTTTAGGAGGCAACTGAAGATAGTTTGTATTTAGCACTGCTTTTGGTTATGTTCAGTAGCAGTCCTTGGTGGGGAGAGCGGGGTATAAAATAAATAAATAAATAAATTGTGATGTTAAAACTTTTTGTCCTGTTTTCAGTGCCTTTTATGCTGTGTTCCATCTGTATTTGTCAGTCGCCTTGAGCTCTGCTGAAGTAGTTTTCAGTGAATAAAGGGCACCTGACCAGTCTCGGGCCTCTCGGGCACTGGATCCCGCCTGGAGCCCTGGCAGAGGATCGACTGATCCACATGCAACGCTTTCTTTGGAAGAATATTTATTTTTTGACAAGTAAAAAAAGAAGGAAACGTTTTATGCAGGCAATCTTTTGCAAACCCCCACGCACCCCACTGTGTCTCATCAAACAGGAGCCCAAGAGCTCCTCCCAAGCAGACCGAGGGAGGGAGGGATGGAAGGAGGATCCCCCCCCTCGCCCCCGCAGCTCCATACTCTGCAACGCAAAAGGCCTCCATCTTCTCCTCTGCCGCCTGGAGTAAGTTGTGGGACTGGGCCTCCCCCGCCAGCCACAGAAGCTGGAACAGCTGCAGCCGGCCCTGGCTACCGGGGCCGGCCCTCACTTCCCCAGCAGGGCAGTGACCTCCTGCAGATGTTCGCGCACCACCTGGTCCAGCACGGCATAGACGTCCTTGCAGGCCTTGCTGGCGGCCTCGATGATGCGCTCCAGGTGGTCCTCGTGCAGCCGGGCGTTCATCTCCAGCAGGGCGATCTGGTCGGACTTGGGCAGCAGGGCCAGGGCCAGCTGGGGGCCGCCGGTCACCTCCTCCACGTAGTTCAGGTCGGCCAAGGGCGTCTCCTCGATGAAGCCGGCCGAGCAGGCGCACACGTAGTCCCGCATCGGGATGCCGGCGTCGATAACTGCCAGGGTGGCCGCGTTCACGGAGGCACAGTAATTCCCCCCGTCCGCTTGCAGGATCTGGAAAAAGGCAGCGCGCCTGCTCAGGAGGAGGCCCACCCGGGACCCAAATCCCCCCTCTGCCAACATCCTGAACCGCCCTGACAGGCCAGATCCCTTCTGTGCTAGTTTGGCTGCCCCCAGGAATATTTCCGCACGCGACCCAGGGGGCTGAGGGTTTATGGGGCTCGGCTTTTCAGCAGCTGGCTCTCCCATCGGGTGTGCTTCAGAAGGCGGCTGCCCCGGGCTTGCCGGCATTACAGACCAACAAGATCTGGGGCTCTCTGGGTCAGAGGCTGCAAGGGCTACAGAGCTTGCACCCCGCTCTCTGTGAGGTGTCCGCTGCAGAAGGCAGAGGCAGGGAAGGACCCACCTAGACCAGCTCCCTCTCCCCCCTGGGGGGGGGCATGCCCCTGCAGAGGGGGCCAGTGCTCTGCTGGGGAGGCGGCCGGGTTCGCGGGCTGCGGGGCTCCCTGGACCCACCTGGACGTAGATGTCGATCTGGGAGCGGGGGTAGAGCTGCGTCAGGATGGCGGCCTCGAAGGTCTGCTTGAGGTGCAGGGTCATCTCGCTGGACTGGCGGTCGCCGTGGGGCCGGCGCTTGCGGTCGCCCGTGCTGAAGGTGGCCATGCTGTACTGGCAGTTCACCAGTGCCTGGTCGTGCAGGGCCTTGCTGCGGGAGCCGCGCATCTGGGAATGACAAAGGGAGTCCTTACCGGCTAAATCTCAGGAGAGCCTTCCTGACTATAAGGGTGGTTGAGCCCTGGAACAGGCTGCCTCGGGAGGGGGGTGGAGGCTCCTTGACTGGATTTTTCCAAGCGGAGGAGGCTGGACGGCCATCTCTCGGGGATGTTGTGGGCCTATTATCTTTGGGCTCTGCTCCTGCAGAGTGCAGGGGGTTGGACTAGATGACCTGCAAGGTCCCTTCCGACTCTAACATTCCGTGATTCTATGGGAGGGGGGGGGTCCACGTTAAGGCGGGAGGGGCAGG